AAAAAAAAAAAAAAATCTCTCAGCTCTGAAACGTTAAAGTCAACTATCCCATGACTTTGACTAAAACGACACTACACCAAGTCATAAACTTATCAAACAGACGGCCCCTACAAATTAAATTATTATCTCATACTGTCTTTTATTTTCCATTTTTTCAACTTGGTGTTCCTTTTCCATAAAATTAATTAAAGCAATATTAGGTTTCGTATGTTTTGATTTATTTGTATACTTTTCAATGGTTGCGGCTGTTATTAGTCTCCTCCAGGAATAAAGAAGTTTCTAATAGTTTGTCCTTGTGTTATGAAATTCCAAGAGTGAGTGATCATCTTGCATTGTGTTGAGGTTTGAAACTTGAGAGGTTACTTCAGATGATGATAAAGTCCCACACACCTTATAAATATCTGAATGGCCTAGCTAATTGGTGCCTGTTAAATATAAATACTATGATAAAGACCATAATTTCAAACTCGTCCTCCAATCTGATCGATGTTTACCAAACATAACAAATTAAGATTTTCAGATCTGCCTGGTTAAAAATTAAGTACTACTTAATAGTAACGATACGATGTAACATTTCGATCGTCGAGTACCTTAATTATTTTAGATGTAATTTGAAGCATATCATATTAAACTTGTCATATATAGGAAATGTTGTTTTAATAACTGAATGAGTGCTTGGAAGTAAGAAAGCCTGGAAATAAAGTTAACAGCAAGAAAATATACATGGATATGATATATGAGACTCAGTTTTAAAAAGGTATCAATATTATTTAATCTAGAAATAATAATAATATCACGATCTGAAATTGGAGGATAATAATCGGTCGGCATGCACTTACCAATATTTATCTTCCACTTAACGAATCCTGGACATATATATATGGCTTCATTTTGAACAAGATTCTCTCTCTCCTCATTATAATGATTCACTTAGTTAGGTTTACTTGACACTAATTTTAATTATTTTTTTTCCAATGTAGAGGGGAGATAAAGAGGAAGGTTCCTTCACATAGATGATATTTCTACAAAGGAAAAAGTCTTTATCCTCTTCAGGGTCGACCTGACGAGTTTTGTGGCCTAAAGCCGAACTTTTTAATTTTCTTATAGTCAATAACTCCTAATAATTCTTTATTAAGTGACAATATAGCTAATCCATTTAACTTTTCTTGAGAAATTATTGATCTTAGGTAAGATTTTATCAATTTTAATTTTGGAAACTTCTTTCTACTGAAGCGACAATAACATGAGTTATTAACATTATTCCATAAGCAATATAGGCATTGAAAAAAGAATCAAATCTTTTTATTTGATCGAGTGTATCGGTTAAAATGTTATCTTCTAATTGTACTATTTTCCTTAATACTTTTAATTCTGAAAATAAATCTAAACCATCAATATCGAATTGATTATTATGATTTAAAGAACCTTCAAGATTAAGGCAAATTTCTTCAAATTTTCATCATCGAGTGATCTTAATTTTTACCGCTAAATAGAAAACCAAAAAAAAAAATCATATGCTTCGAATTGTTCAAATCTATTTTGAAGTGAAAACATAGCCTTGTCTACTATGTATATAATCAACTCCAAAGGACTCTTCGAAGATTTTGAGATGTTATTATCAGCATCCTCATCAAATTGTTACTTCCTTTATATTACATGTTTCTTATGAAATTCGAGTTCGATATTCATTTCAAGTGTAATTTTCTTGGCAGAAATTATAGCGGTTGCAAATCCTTCTTTTTTAATACTTCTTAAAGAAAGAAATCAAACTTTTTCACTTCGCATAACCTTTTTTTAAACTTATACATAGCATATTAGATGTAATAAAAAATAGGACCCCTACAAATGTGGGGCCTAAAATAGTTGATTTACTTGCTTCGACCGCCCTGATACTCTTCTATAAGTAATATACTAATTAAATAGACCTTTTTGGGTTTTCCTGTATTTTAAGTCAAGGGGTGATCACTCAAATATACAAAGACTCCGTCCATTCAAAGACCTTTTGCCCCTGAAACAACAAAGTCAATCTTCATGATTTTGACCAAATTAAAGGAACGAACACACAGAGTCTTGAGCCTCCTTAATTAACTTACATCATCTTCTTTATATAAGTATTCAACTCTAGCAAGAGACCACCAGTAATTTATTATCTTTCAGAAAGAAATAAAGAAGAAGAAAATCAATGATGGTCTGAGTTAGTCTTAGTTCTTGAACTAATAGCAGCAACTAGAACACCATTATCACTAGCATATCATAAAAATACTACATTGTTCTTCAAACCACTAGCATCACCAAAGCCAACTCCATTGAAATACCACCACAACAATAACAAATAACGACTTCAACCGCGCAACTGTTTTCTCAGTTTCTTTCGACTCTCTTCAACAGACCCCGTATAACCCTCTTAGCTTGGTCGAAAATTTCATCATTATGCCATCTGAAGTATTTGCAACCACCTCGACCCTACAAAATTAAAAAAGAAATGTGGCCAAAAAAATTTTAAAAAAAAAAGTATCTTTTTTAAGAAATTCAAGGGTCTAAGAAAATCAATACGATCGACTTACCAATTTACAATCATAAAATCGACAACCTGGGTTTGCAGGTCATGACCATGATATAATCAGTGGCGCATTAAACCCACAGTGACAAATATCCATTCCATTGCGATAAATTGTTGATTTTTGCGACATGAAAATGCTAAACGAGAAAGATGAGGAAGAAATCAGATAAAGCTTCAAGCTTGGGCGCCTAAGCTTCAGTTGAAGGGGAAAATAGCAACTTTGAAAGGGGAAGAAGACGAAAGAGGAATTAGGGCTTTTTGGAGAGAAATTATGATCAAATCGGGTGTTTTAAAGTGGGTCTAACTGGTGGAATTTTTTTTTTTACCGTTGAAATATCCACCTAAGCAAAAAATATTTACATTCGCGCGCTTACCATGTGTGGAACTAACACTCCTTTGGCCGGTCATGCGTTGTGTTTAAATGGTATAGTCCAAAATAGAGTTAAAGTGTTAAATAGGAAAAGCACTAAGTTAGAGTGTCAAAATGAAATTTGGAGCCGAGTTTAGGGAGCTGTCTATATATTTGCCCTTTTTAAAACTCAAAAATGATGATATATGGCTACTAGAAGACTAAAGACTCATACCATTTCAGAAAAAAATCTCTCGGCTCTCAAACATCAAATGACTTTGAATAAATGACACCACACCAAGTCATGATCCATATATATGCCACCTTACTTTTCAAGCAATATTAGGTTTCATATATATGTTTTGATTTATATGTATATTACTTTTCAATGATTGCGGCTGTTATTAGTCTCGCTCCTCCAAAAACAAAGAAGTTTCTAATAGTTTGTCCTTATGTAATGAAATTCCAAGAGTGAGTGATCATCTTGCATTGTGTTGCATGAGGTTTGGAACTAAGGTCAAAACATTGAGAGGTTACAATGCTTCAGATGATGTTAAAGTCCCACGCATCTTATAAATATCTGAATGACCTTCCGACTGTTTTAAAATTGGTGCCTGTTAAATATAAATACTATGATAAAGACCATAATTTCAAACTCGTCCTCCTCTGATCGATGTTTACCAAACATAACAAATTAAGATTTTCAGAGGCTGCCTCACACAATGAGTTGCATGGTCAAAAATTACTTAATAGTGTCGAGTACCTTAATATTTTAGATGTAATTTGAAGCATATCATATTAAACTGGTCATAGGAAATGTTGTTTTAATGTTTTAATAACTGAATGAGTGCTTGGAATTAAGAAAACTTGGAAATAACATGAAGAGCAATAAAATATATACATGGATATATGCATGACTCAGTTTTAAAAGGTATAAATATTAATCTAGAAGTAATAATATCACGATCGATAATAATCGCTCGGCACTTAGCAATATTTATCGTCCACTGAACGAATCCTGAACATATATATATCAACTAATATAATTAAAGCATACAATGTGATTCCATATCATCAAACATATGTATAATAGAGCAGTTCACTAGTAATATTATCCGTTTTAGGCTGAGGCTCACATGAAGGCAAAGTCTTTATCCTCTTCTGTAAGTTTTATATATAATATACAAAATTGTCCTTTAATTTTTGGGTTTTCCTGTATTTTAAGTCAAGAGGTATATACAAAGACTCCGTCCATTCAAAGACCTTTTGCCCCTGAAACAACAAAGTCAATCCTCTTGACTTTGACCAAAGGAACATAGAGTCTTTAGCCTCCTTAACTTAATTAGCTTACATAATCTTCTTTATATATACAACCCTAGCAAGGAGACCAAGAAAATCAGCAAGAATTAATAATGGAAGTGGAAAAAATACACTGCAGCATAGTTACAAATAATAATGACAACAAATTAGAGGCAGAAGAAGATGATGAAGATGTTCAACTTCCAGGGTTTCGGTTTCATCCGACAGATGAAGAGCTTGTTGGGTTTTATCTTCGAAGGAAAGTTGAGAAAAGACCCATTGCTTTACAACTAATCAAACAGATGGACATATACAAATATGACCCTTGGGATCTGCCGAGTATGTCTACTTATATATTAATTACTCTCTTTTAATTTCTTTAATTTGTTTTACAGTTGCGTTTTGGTTCTTTCATTTCTCTAGGTTTTTCTGAAAGAATGATGTTTAGGATGTGTTTGATATAACGAAAATATTTTCTCATGTTTGGTTAATTGAATTAATTTTCATGGACCGTGTTTAACAAATCCCGACTACAACTACAAAGGAGTTAAGAATTTTTGTAGTAACACTCGTTAATTAGATAGTAGACACAATTTAGAAAAAGAAAAGAGTTGAGAATTATTATAACTGTTCAACAAAAATATATATACTCGTTAATATTGGCTTTGAATTTAAAGCTAGTACTTCTATATATATATGATCAGAACAGAAGAAGATTTGTTTAAAATTGTACATTTTCCTGTAAAGATCTTCTTCTAAAAGGTTTTATATATGTCTATAAATTTAGAATCTATTTGGTTATGTCAAGGCATAGGAAATGTGTGTCTACGTCAAATGAATGCAAATTGTAGTAGACAACAGAATAAGAAGGGTTAGACCTTTAAGATTTTTAGTATTGAACTTATATATTGTAATTTTAAAATGTCGAGTCGTTTATTTGGATGTTTCAGAGGGTAGTAACAAGGGAGAAAATGAATGGTACTACTATTGCAAAAGGGGAAGAAAATACAAGAACAGTGTAAGACCAAACAGAGTGACGGCGGGTTCTGGATTTTGGAAAGCTACTGGTATTGATAAACCTATTTACGGTAAAGGAGAAGTCATAGGACTAAAGAAATCATTGGTGTATTACAGAGGCAGTGCTGGAAAAGGCACCAAAACTGAATGGATGATGCACGAGTTTCGTCTTCCAAACAACAAATACCTTCATGCAGCTAACAACATTGCTCAAGAAGCTGTAAGAAACTTCAATATTTCATATATCTATGTTATGTGTTTTAGTTTGACTATATATAAGTGTACACAAATTTTTTAATCTTGTGATTTTAAATATGTCTATGCGCATTGCAGCCCAACTAATCCGAATTTGCGCCGCATAAAGCTTATTTAAGGGGAGTAGTGCTCCCTAATAGGATTTTTTCCGTACACAGGACTCGAACACAAGACCTATCATTAAGGATGGAGGGATCTCATCAATCCCACTACAATCCATGTTGGTAAATTAAAAACTTACTTAATACAGAAATGTGACATTTCATTTTTAACTCTGTTTAAAATGAAATGTCACATTTCTGTATTAAGTAAGTTTTCAAAAAAAAAAAAAAAAAAAAAAGGCTTCACTGAACTTAATTTAGTCGTCAATCAACATGGCTGCGAGTAGGGGTGTACATGGGCCGGGTTGGTTCGAATTTTTCAATTACCAAACCAAACCAATTGTCTCGGATTTTTATACTTATAAACCAAACCAAACCAATAAAAGTCGGGTTTTTCAATCACTGTTTTTCTCGGATTTTTCGATTTTCTCGGGGTTTTCGGGTTTTTTTCCGACAAAATCTTCATAGCATAAAATTTATAATTTGTGCTCTAATATTTCTTAGATCCTAGTAGGATAAAACTATATAAGATGTTACCAAATAAAATAATATAAAATAATATGAGATGAGTCATGATTATACTAAAATACTCAACAAATCGCATAAGATAAATATTGCTAATTAATAAGCCATAATAAAAATAAACATAATCTAAAAGTACTAAGTCATGCTAAAATAAGTACGACTAATAAGTACTGAGATACTAAATAATATTAAAAGCGAGTTATGCATTTTCACTATCTAAATCAATGCAAAACTAAAAAAACAAATCCAATACTATTGTCATTTCTAGTATTTGAATTGAATTATTTTTGTTAGCATTAGTATTAATTTGATTTTTCTTTAGGCTTTATTTGAGTTACTAACTTTTATAGGCTATAAAACATATATGACCATTCAAAGTTCTAAGTTCAAGCTTGAATACATTAAAAGAGAGAATTAGTAAAGAGTTTAAATTATATTTATAATTACATTACAATAATTATTTTTAAATAATTTTTAAAACTTGTATACATGTAATGTATACATTAAAAGAGAGAACTAGTAAAGAGTTTAATATTTTATGTATAAAATATTTTTAAAACTTGTATACATATAATGTCGGGCTGGTTTGGTTTCGGTTTGACTTTTTTAAGTTAAAACCAAACCAAACCAATTATGGTCGGGTTTTTTTTTCTAACACCAAATCAAATCAAACCAAACCATAGTTGGGTTCTTTTTCTCGGATTATCGGTTTGATGCGATTTGTCGGTTTCCTTTGTACACCCCTAGCTGCGAGTAGGTTGATTATCTCAAGTGCAACAAAAAAAGTTGCTAAAATTTGTGACAACATAATAAATATGGGCATAATTTATAATGAACAACTTTAAGGAAAAAAAGTAACATTGAGTCATAGCATCATGCTACTTGACCTTGTTTTTAAACGAAACATAAATCTTCGATTTAAGTTTGCCAAGATGGGATATATAGTTGTTATTAATCGATGTATTTTCTTAAGCTAATCATCTCTCATTCCGTAATTTTGATAGTTTACGAGGATATAAACTTATAAGCATGGCAGCATTTTTGTTGCCTGACGTATAAGTAATCAAGCTTATCATAATCTATTCTAATATCAGAATCTCTAATATCATATTGTATTATATATATATGATAATTTCATCTACAAGTTTGAACTGTCAAAGATCTGGTACCATGTTGAAATATGTGATTATTTCAGCTCTAAAAGTTTAAAACCATTAAAGAAAAGACATTTATATTCACTTGTGTTCAACAATCCAACATGAATTAAATTGAAAATCTCTTTCTTTTAATATATAACCCAGGAAGCATGGACTCTTTGTCGTATCTTGAAACGAAATGCTTCCTATCGGAAATTTGTACCAGATTGGAAAGAAGTAGCAGCAGCAGCAGCAGCAGCAGCGAAGCAGCAGCGAAATGCAGTCCCCAAAATATGCAGCAATAATATTATTAATAGTGATTCTCCAAGAAATTCCCAGATTTACATCAGTTTTAGCACTCCTCCTGTGGTTAAGCAGAATACGGCCTATATTGATGATGCTGAAAATAAGCAGCTGTTAAACGTAGGGCAACAAAGCTCAGGATCTACTAATGATGCAAGTATGCTATCTACTGTTGCAGCTGCATCCAATTCGAGCTTACTGAATAGTCCTCTCGACTTTAATGAGTGGTTAGAGAATGGGAACTGGGATGAACTTAAATCTATTTTCGACCTTTCTTTTGATCCTTTCTTTTAATTTTCTACTACTAAATATGGGTAACTGCGCATTGTAAATATATCATATCTGAGTTTTCCTGTTGGAAATAACTACTACTTATAGTATATACTGACGGTTGCCTAAAGTATTTTTAAGCTATAAGTGTATTTTAACATATTGTAGTAGGTTATTTGCTTTATTTTTCAGGTTACAAGATTATCTTCCAGGTGATGTGATAATTTAAAAAATCGTAAACATTTTTAGTATTAGTTAAACTCTTTATGTTATATCGACTAGGCTTACATGTTGGGGTTTTATGTAAACATGGAGGTGTATATATATTGTTAGTGTAAAAAAAATAAATTACACTATCAGGTCACACAAAGGATATCTACATGTAAACCTTCTTATAATGTGAATATATAATCTTGAGGTTTGCTTCAACAGGTAAAAGTGACATGATTCCTTACACTGACCATGTATATCGCTTAAACTCTTTACAAAATGAATGAGATTAGCAATTAAGCATGTAATTTAGATGGCTTCTTAAGAGCCTAGTCTGTATAAGGTTTGGTGTATATATTCCATGTTCCTACAAGACGATGAAATATACCAGTTCATGTTTTATTGATTTCTGTTGCTAGCTTACCTAGTGTTTTCTTGGTCCGAAAATTTTAGTACTCGTTTCTTTTGAATCTATAGCCTCATTTTGCTTAGGATATAACTTATATACATTAACGTTATAGATAATATTTACATTATCAGTGCATTTAGCTGGTTAAAACAAGCTATTCAGTTGATTTTTGTTTTAAAACACTAGGCTTATTATAAGCAGGGGTGACATAAAATAAAACAGAAGTATCTTATTATCATTGATTGGTTCCTCAAAGCATCATCAAACTAGTTTAACAGAGGATAATATTGCTAAACGGGACTAATAATAATCTTCAACGGTGTTTCACAGCATACTTTTGAAATGGTCATTAAGCAACGTGTTCAAGACAAACTTTCCTTGACTTTAAATAAAAAGTGATAATGATTGCAACTGATTTACTTCCACAGAAATGACAACCAAGTACCACTTTAACGGGCTGCTATTTAGGAATTAGTTAAGGTTTTCTGGATAAAATGTCATGAGTTGTCCTGAAGTCAAGATTTTTTTCGTTTAAAATCTCAAGACAAAATAAGTACTAGTTGATCCCTAAATAGCATGCTGAGAATGGTTGCTTTCGTAGTTCCAGCTCTTACATAAAATAATACATGCACTTATACTCAATGGAAAACCAAAAGATCATGATGCGGATGGAAGAAAACCATTCTACTCAATGCCAACTGACGATTTGTTGAACAGACTTAAGATTGTAAAATCTATTGAAGTACTACTGCCTTGAGCCATTAATTATGCTTTGATTTCTACGTTTTTTTGTTCCTAAGCAACTAAGCTCTTAAAGTTGTCTGTACTTTACTAAGCCTAATTGACAGATCAGGAACGAATCTATGTGGATGCTGTCAGTTTCCTTTTTATGTTGCAAGTAAAGAAGCTCTAACATGTCCCTATCCATTCACAGATGAGATGATGAAGAATTACAGGAAACAAAGATTAAAACAAAAGAGTAAATGATAAGCAATGAACCAAAAGAGTAAATGATAAGCAATGAGAGAAGAATAACTGATCCATGTCAGTGTAAATTACTTGTAACACATAGCAACGACATCTATCAGAGTCGGTACACAGAGCAAGACTATGGACCTCAACCATCATCACAACAAAGGGGAAAAGAGAGCGTGATCCCATTTCCAAAATCGCCAAGATACTAAGACTAGCTGACAGGCATGGATGGGAAGGTCCTCCAGAATTCTAACACCAACATGGTGGCCGAATGAAGATACAAGACAGTGACAACCCAGCAATTTACACAGCTGCAGGTTTTACAAGCACAAGCAGGCTTTCTAAGTAGTACTCCTTATCTAGACCTCTTCGATTTCTTTTTAGATGGCCTGCTGGAACCTGCAATAAATTCCTCAGCATCGATCTTGTCAATTGATTTTTGCTTCCTGAACTCCTTTGCCTTTTTCTGCAGCAAAACCAATATGAATGCATCAAATCACTAGCAATCCAAGAATCAAAGTCCAGACACAGAAGGCTGCATATTTTAATATATCTATGAAGAGCATCATATGTTTTGTTTACCTTCAATGACGATGCCATGGCAGTGATGTCATCTTTATCCACATTGGACACGTCTTGGTTATGTGTTTTTGGTTCCTGCAAAAGTGCATATAAACAATGTTCAACAGAAAATGCATAAATAGAGTGCAAAATAAAAATGGCCTGATGAGATTATGTGAATACAAACCTCAGGTGGAACAAAAGCTTCTTCCCGTTTTTTCTTGTTTTCGGCAACCCTCTCAGCCTGTTTTTCTTGCTTCTCTTCCCACTGCTTTGCTAACTTCTTCTTGTCACTTAAGAAGTATTCACCACTTTCCAGTTGTTGATCAATCTACAATCAAAAAGATTATATACGTTAGATTAAATTAACAGTGGATATATCTTAATCCCAGTCACTGTAAGAGAAGATGAGACAATTGAAAATTTAAAAAATTAAAATGAATAAACCACAAAATCCAGTGAGACAATAGTGAGCAAAGAAGTAGCAGGATATACAGCAGAATTACTCTCTACAACACCACACCAATAATTGCCAAATGACAATTTACACAGCACTTAAATGTAGTGCAGAGAGTATATGATGCTTAGCATAATACTCTACACATAAAAGAGATATAGAAGAGAACGAAATAAATGGACAAGAAGTGACCTTTTATAGAATCATAATGACAACTCACCTTACTAGGTTGCTGAGGTGGTGGGAAGGGTGTATATGGTTTCTTTTCTTTGGTCTTAACTTTCTTTTGTTTAACATTCTTCCTGAACGGACAAAAACGAACAAAATAATATTTAAGCTTTGTATTTGGAACTGCAGAATAAAAAGTTAATATGACTCCAACACCATATGAAAAGATGCCTTACTTCTTAAACTGCGGAAGAAATCTGTCCCAGTTCTCATTAGCCAGAGCTGGATTTTTTGCAAGCTCTCTCTTCAGCATGAGGATCTATGGTCGCAGGGATACGTCAGGGAAAGTGAATTAACAGACCTTTTATTCATAACATATTGTAATAAATAGTTGAAGACCCTATTTAATTCATTTTTATTATCATGCTCAGTTACCTTGATATGATGTAGCGGATGCATTTTGTTCAGTACGCAGTCCTCTACAATCCTCCTCACTTGCTTTAGACCTTTAAAGGAACCCATAGCAGCAACCGTGTTTCCCTACTCAATTTTAGGCAAGATTCAGGTTCGTTCTCAACTTTTTCAAGAATATTTTATATCACACTTAAGAGTCAGTGATAAGGCCAAAGCTTTGACCTAAAAGAAGAAAATGAAAAGGACACTAAATTTGGGATTTACTTTACAAGTAGCAAGATGAGTATACCTGGACAAGAATATAGCAGCCGCTCAAAATTTCCAGGGCCTGCATCCAACGTGATACATATCAAGCTATATGGCAGAAGGTAATAACTCAGCATGATGTGTCAGTATATTCCCCAACATTCAAGCAATCTATATCTCTACGTTTTATAGCAGATTTGGTCTGGATGAGTGGCTGGCGCAGGTAGGAGGTACGACTAAACCTCACTTGGCTCTGGTCAAGGGTCATCCGCTTACCAGGCAATACTCGTGATTAACTACTAATGTAAAGGAGGAGTAAAATCATTACCCACACTCAGATAAACTAATCTACTGTTCAGTTTAATATTTTGGCAATTCAATAGTTTGTTACTGTTTGATGCTATTTTCTGTTAGGGGTTTCTTTATTGTTGTTGTTGTTGCTATTGTTGTTACTATAGTTGTCTTTCTCCCCTTTTCCTTATCGTCCTTTGTCCCCCTATTCTTTCTTCCTTCTTCCTCTTTCTTCTTCGTCTTCTTCCTTTCTCTCTTTTCACCTTTTCTTGAGTCGAGGGTCTATTGGAAACAACCTCTCTACCTCGCCAGGTAGGGGTAAGGTCTGCGTACACACTACCCTCCCCAAACCCCACTTGTGGGATTATACTGGGTATGTTGTTGTTGTTGTAATATTGCACATCCATATTACTGATTCAAGACGAATATTCTGGGAAAATCTTCCAGTTGGAAGTTGGGCCATCCACTATGAATAAATAAATGATCCTGACAGGTAAGCAAATACAGAAACAAATGCTCTCCTGTTCATGCATGGTCTAAAGAAAGAAATTAGAAAATACTCCTTGACAAAATGATCCTTGGTCAAGAGAATGGCATTTTGGCTCGGTCCTACATAACACTGGCAGTAGAATGTTCTCCTAACCAATTGCAATTTTCAGAGAATGGTGCAAAAGGCAATTCACCAACCTTTAAAGTTGACGAATTGGGGCCCACAAGATATTGTCTACGTTTAACAAAGCGCTCCTGCAAAACAAAAACAAGAGTTTCATAACATGAATTTAGACAACGCACATGACAAGGAATACCAACAAAATTCATAATCTAACAATTGAGTATTACATCCTATTATTATTACTATTTTTTCTATCTTGATTCCAATATATATGCCACTGTTTACTTTTCCAGGACATTCCAAATGTTTAACACTATTCAACTAACAATACTATCCCACAACACTCAAGCATTCAAATTTTGAACTTTTATATGAGGTCTTTCCTATGAAACTTCCGTTGCAGCCACTAATTTAATATTTTTCCACTACCACTAATATAATATATAAGTCAAATTAACATCTTAAACTCTATATCTAGTAAAACACTGTCATATAAAATGGAATGAAGTAGTATTCTACAAAAACCACCATTTAGTTCACGCAAGAGTTAGTCTAATCATGCACTGTACTTCTCAAAAGTTAAACATGCACCTCACCTTTACATCTTGCCAACAACTTATCTCTACTTTTTGATAATAAATAACAAAACGCTAAAAGGGTTAACTAATGACACCCACATGTTCCACGATTC